GAAGAATTTAATTAAAATAAATTCGCCTTAAAATAATCATTTACCAACGTTTATGCGCCAGGTCCTTATCGAATATGACAGCAGCAACGACGGACACTATCTCACGATCTCATGCAGAACGCCATAGCCAATCGGCAACGGCCGAGAGTCCTTGCTTTATCCACTCCGCACTGACGTCACATTAGCAGCATGAAGTCAAATCATCAAATTATGCTGTCTTTCGTGAATTCTGGTTTCAAACTGGGAAGTCAAAGCCCGTGTTTATAGAAATGTCTCGGGCTACAGAAGTGTTCCTAAGAGAGCTGTTCAGCCGGTCATTTTGCTGGGCGTGTAATTAGCGAAGCCGGTTGATCAATGGCAGTGAACACTAACAGTCGAGAAGCTTTGTGAATGTGGTCCCAGATACTTTGTACTTTGTGTCCTTTGTCAGCCAAGACTGTGTGATCTAGCCTTGAATAAGACAAGTCTGCCTCTCGAACCGCGTCGGCTGGGGCACACAACCCCTGCTCGGGGATTTTTTTTCTTCAACGCTGCGTGGTGTGTTTCGCGATAGGTCTGCTCCCACGGAGAGATTACGTCACAGGTTATGCGCCATTTTAGGTCATTCCGTCTCGAAAGTCGTATACAGTGCCTGTCAGGTACGTGTCATTCGTTCCTTGACCCTCTCGCTCTCCTATAGTAATGAGCTCGGTCCCGCAACAAAAGAACGACTTCATCGGCGGGGGCTTTCACTTCGCGAAGGCACGCGCTGCTCGTTTGCTGCCATCTTTATTTATTCCTTCGAGCTCCATGTGCCCGCAGGGCATGTTCCGCCACTACTACGCGCACCTCCTCCGTGCTTATGCCTGAGGCGACGCCGGGTAATGAGCAGTTGCTTGACGCGCTCAGTTGGTCCGTTTGGGAGCTTTGCTCGCATCCGTCTCAGCTGGAGCCGTGCGCTCTGCGGCGGCACGCGCTGTCATTTATCCGTGGTGGTAATGTGACCGATGATGATGTATGATAAGGTGAAGCCGCGCGCTCTATACTCTTCCTCTCTCCCGTCGCCAAACAAAATAGAAGAATAGAAGGGAGAAAGTGGATGGGGGTGAGGAGGTGACCGTGCAGTGCAACCGTAGTGTGACTGCCATGTTCGACGTTGTGCGAGAAAAAAAAAATAAAACCCTGCTTATTGAATTGGGCACAAAGGATGACGGCTTCGGGCGAGTCGTCAAGTAAAAGAGGAACGTACTCGAAAGCTGCCGAACGGCTTCTGTGAGCCGGGAGAGAAGCATGAGGTTCGCGACTCACAATAAACGCGGCGTCCCGCAGTCGCACGACACAGCGAACTCGCGCAGGCAAGAAGGCCTCGCAGAAGCGTTTAGCCACCTGGAACGATTGGGTATTGCACGTGTGCGTGCTACAAGTTTGGCTCTCGCTGGCCTCTACTGGGACTGACAGCCTAAAGTTTGATAAGGACAAATTAATGGCAGCTAAAATCGGTCCATTGACATTGCAGGTCAACTTATATAGGTTCCCGTGCATCTACGTTGTTGCTTGACCAAGGATAGGCAGAACATTGCCCTTTCATGACCATACTCTGCGCATACACTATACATACCGCGTTTGCTAGTGCGTTTGTTCATGTTACTTTTATTTGTTTTGTCATGTGTACATGTCTTGTGCGTGTGTGTGTGTGTGTGTGTTTTTGTGAAAGAGAAAGTGTGGAAAGGGCAGAGATGGATGGATGGAGGAACTTTAATTTCACTGTAGGGCTGAGAAACGCGTGACTAGAGGTCAATCAGAATTTTCACGCCTTGTTTGCTACCCTGTATTAGAGGGAGAGGGAGAGGGAAGAGGAAAGGAAGGTGGAAAGAAGAGCGGAGAGAATAGAAGGCGTGCGAGAACAAACGAAGAAGGAAGACGCAGGGCGCGATCTATGCAGGACAGATCTTATAGGAGGATGGACACTCTGCTAAGTTCACTGAGCCTCTACGCCGGTCCCTTCGGCTACTCTACTTACTGGTCGTGCGTAAAAAAATGAACTACAATTGCCGTATACACTGCGCGACAACGTGTTAGATGCCGAAGTAGCGCCTGTGTGGTGCATGCCTGCACATGACGTACGCATATACCGCCTCAGTGTTTCGTAATTACCAGCGTGCAGTCAACCCACCGAAATCTCGGAGCGGCGTTCCGTGTGTACACCTTTTACTCGACCTCGTGACTCACAACGCTGCCTGTGCAACAGTCGTGCGCAGTCTTTGGCGCATAACTGCGAGTGTTTTCCGCAGGACGGTGATTGCGCAGCCGATCCACGAGAGCGGTGACGCGCGTGTCACGCTGAAGGCGACACGTCTGGCGGTCATGTCGCCACCAGGGGGGGTTCCTAATCACCTAAATGGGGCGCCCATTCGGCGCCATACCTTTAACCAGTCCTTCATTTATTAATACTTTTTTTGACAACCGACAACGGGGACGAAAGACTCCCGGTGTTGCATTCAAAAAGCTGCCTGCTCTCCACGGCAGGTTGTTGGACTAGTCAGTTCGTAGATTCAGCGATGTTTTCGACTGTCAAAAAGACTACGGGACGAAATGAGCAACACGAAGGACAACCCTTAAAACCAATTGGAAGTTCCGCGTTTTTTTTTTTATTACGTCTGTGTTTCTGTTTCAAACCGGCTTCTCGGCGCAGTTTGAAATTTTGCTCTATTTAGTTTGCGGCTTTACCCAGGAAAGCCATGGTCCAATGGCATGACCTTTGTGTGGAGTGCATCATCGCCTGATTTTTATTATTGGCTCCATGGCGTATCTAGTTTTCTGTCTTACTCTAATAAAAGAAAAAAAGGAAAGGAGATCGTGTTACTCTTTCGACGAGTCCTGACTTTCTTTTCCAAGAATCACGTTAACCTCTCATTTCGACGACTCTCCGGCGAGAGCATAATGATCTTCTGAGATAGTTAACGTGTCTTAAATGGGACATTGAACTAAAACAATTTTTTTCTGCTTGGATCGATGAACGATATTCTGAGCACTCTGACGCCGATAATTTCACTACCATCAGTTTATTATTAGGAGAAAAATCAGAATGTTGCACACTTAAATTCCGCGCTTACATCTCCGCGCGACCTCACGAATTTCAATGCGTGTTTGTCGTATTTTGGTGACAATGGCTCAACAATTTTTTTAGGCTTGGCATAATAATTCCACGATTCCCTCACTGGGTAAACGTACTTCATATTTGCCCATTACGAACTATGTAGGCCGTAGTTGCCGCCGCAGGAATCTATGACGTCACGGGTCGGCGTTCGGTGACGTTAGCTCACTGGGACCCTAAAGCGAAAACCAATATTTTTTTTCCTATTGCGAAGTTTCACAATAACGAAAACGCCCCTCTTATCTCAGGGGCAGGTTGGCTGGGATAAGTATTTTTCTGTTTGGAGCTTTGTGTGTAAGGACTGATAACCACTTCGGATGGTTCTCGTTTTTGGCATAAATGGTCGAGTTCGTGCATGTCGGAAATTAGGTTTCGTGCCTGTGTTCTTGGGTATGTCTTCTTTTTTATATATGTTACGGCGCTAACTGAACGTGCGTCGAATTAGAAACAATGCCTGAATTCCTACTTTTCCCTTTTCCCTTTTGAAGTATTTTACGTGTTTACGTGAGTTAACTGCTATTATACGGGAGCTGTTACGCCGCCAGCCAAGCCTCTCTAAAGTAAACCTAACCCACCAGCCCTAGTCAAGGGTATGTTACTTTTGACTATCCATCCATTCATGCGGGAGGTTGGGTAACTACTGGTCATTAAGAGTTACATACCGGGTTCCAAGAGAAAGCAAGCACGCGAGGGGGAGACGTAAGGTTAATAGTGACGTCGCCACCTGCATTTGTCTTTTGCGCGTTTTCTCGCTTACCGAGCGTCTTCTCACGGCATGCGTGGGGATTTTAGAATCGTGGAAGAGTGATTTGCTTATAATATACAAATAACTTCCTTTTCAATTGGCCCTCTAAAGTGAGTCGTTCACGTGGCAAGTCCGCGCTCACAAACAAAGAGTTTTTTTCCTCGTACCGCACCCGACTGGAACGGCCTTCCCAGTGAAATCGCAACCATTCCCTGCCCATCATCGTTCATAGAAAATATGAATAAACACTTCCTATGTTAAATCTTTGGCTTCTATGTTTTTGTCTTTATAATTACCCACTCCTTATGTAATACCCCCTCGCGGGTATTTAAGGAAAGAAAATGAAATGAAGAGTCAAGGTACTCGGCTTTCACTTTCAAGTGTACCGGAAAGGTTGTTCGGCACAGCGGTGAAGATCGCCCGTACCCTTTATTTGGGTGCACGTTAAAGAACCCCAGGTGGTCTAAATTTCCGGAGCCCTCCACTACGGCGTCTCTCATAATCATATGCCCCGCCGCGGTGGTCTAGTGGCTAAGGTACTCGGCTGCTGACCCGCAGGTCGCGGGTTCAAATCCCGGCTGTGGCGGCTGCATTTCCGATGGAGGCGGAAATGTTGTAGGCCCGTGTGCTCAGATTTGGGTGCACGTTAAAGAACCCCTGCAGGTGGTCGAAATTTCCGGAGCCCTCCGCTACGGCGTCTCTCATAATCATACGGTGGTTTTGGGACGTTAAACATCACGTATCAATCAATCAATCAATCAATCAATCACTCAATCAATCACTCAATCACTCAATCAATCACTCAATCAATCAATCAATCACTCAATCAATCAATCCAACAATCAATCAATCACTCAATCACTCAATCAATCAAACAAACAAACAATCAAACAAACAATCAATCAATCAATCAATCAATCAATCGCCCGTACCCCTCGATGTAGAACACCGGGCGCGCGCCCGTGGTCGCCCGTCGACGCTGGCGCGGGGTGTGTCTCCTCTGAGTGTGACTTGTCGTCGCTGGTGTCGCAGCCCCGCGTGTGGTGGTGGCAGCCGCAGCGTGGCGGCGGGGGAGGATGCTGACTCGCTGCGGCGCACGCGACGAGGCTGCCGGCGGCGCCCATGACGGAAAGGCGCGTGTCGGTGCGCGAGCGCGCCCGCGAACTCGAAGCCCTCGCCGCCAGGGAGGCATCGCCGCAGCTGGCGCACAGGGCGCGCCTGGCCCGCAGGTACGTGCACATCCTTCTCTTTCCCCACCCCTCCTGTGTTCTCTCGTGCGCGCTGCATGATGTGTCAAAATGCGCGATTACTCGCTTGGCGGTGCATGCATGTCTTGCACGTTCTCGGCTGCTGCGACGCGTGCTCGGATATACGTGCGGTTCTTGAAAGAGTCTCGAAGATTACAGTGTGCTTGCTCGGTGATCGGTGTTGTGGTATCGGTGCAAGTCGACTCGCAAGAGTAAACCAAATGAACCGTGCGGTAAAGCATGCTGCCTGCTACTCGCTTCGTCGTTGATGCGTTCAGTTTGCACGCCTGCCTCTTACTGACTGACGGCGCGTCGCAGGCTGGGGCTAACGCGCGCCGACTCGGAGCCCGAGGGCGGCCGCGCGGGCCCGTGCCACTGCTGCTCGCAGCCGGCCGACGAATGCCTGTGCAGCGGCGACGGTGGTGGCCGGCTGTTGTCCGTGCCACACGTGCCGCGCAAGAAGGCGTCAGCGCCGGCCATCACGCCGCTGCGGGGCGCCTCGAGCGGTGGTCTCGTGGCCGACGAGGGCTCGAGCTGCGCCGACATCCGGATGGCTTGGGAGGCCCTGTGCGCCGCAGCGGTGCAGGGGCCCGAGGCTAGCGGCGCTATTTCGGATGAGCCCCGCGACGAGAATAGCGCGCCTATCTTGGGCGCGGCGCAAGGTGACTCGGCGCGGGGCCCCCTGGACGCGATCCTGCAGTCCCTGGAGGAGATCTGCAGCCAGCTGGAGGAGGTGCCCGGCGGCCATGCGGGAGCGCCCGTGATGCTGCCGGACGCCGGCGAGGCGGCGTCCCGGCTCAACCTGCGCTGCGCCCGCTCGCAGCCCAGCTCGCCCCGTGTCCGCGCCAAGCCCCAACTGCCGGCCTACCTGACGCTGGCCCGGCGTGCCCGCCATGACGACGCGCTAGAGATCGAGCAGATCAAAACGATACTGGCCTCTATCGACTTCTCACGCTACCGCAAGAAGCGTGGCACGCTGGTCGACGAGGGTCGCCAGCCCTCCGCCATGGCAGAGCAGGCAGCCCTGCAGGGGTCCCGGCTGCGGGAGCTGACGGAGAAGCTCAAGAGCCCCGTCGGTGCACCCGGCAGGCCCTCGGAGCCGTGGAACCGAAGGCCCGCCCCAGTGTGCCGCAGCGCTTCCTTCTCGACGTCTGACCTGCCGTCAGTGCCCGCGATCCCACGCGAGTCTCTGACGCTGCCACGCAAGGCCCCCGCTTCCAGGCCTCTGACGGGACGCGGTGGCGCCAGGGACGCCGCCAGGGTGGCCCTGGACGACGTGGCCATGTCCAGCCTATCGCTGGACTCGGCCGTAGAGTCGATCGTGGATGAGACCCCATACCAGCGCGAGGCCTCCCCGCCCGCTGCAGTGGACAAGCGTCGCGCACAGCGCGGCTGTCGCTTCGCGCCCCTGGACGACGACGGCAGCCGCGGGCCGCCGCAGCCCCCCGAGAAGCGGAAGCGGCGCAAGGGGCTGGCGCCCGTCGAGGGCCCCAAGAAGGAGACGGGCCGCTCGCTCACCTACCCGCCGCAGCGCAAGACGGCCGAGCAGGAGCTGGCCTTTGGTTCGGTCGACAGCAACGGCCTCAAGGCGCTCGGCGGAAGACCGGAGAAGCAGCCTAGCGACTTGTCGCTCGCCGACAGCCACTTCTGTCCCAGTGAAGCGCTGGGCGAGGAGACATTCGGCGACGTGGTGCAGAGCCTGTCCTCGCGGCCCGAGCAGCCCGAGCCGCGCCAGGAGAAGAGCCAGAAGAAGAAACACCTCTCCGACCCAAGCGCCGACAACACGGGCGCCGCCACCGAGCTGTTGCTGGGCGCGTGCTGCCGTAGCGAGCCGCAGCTCTCCTGCCCCGGGGCCCTGCACAAGCGCCAGCATTCGGGACCCGCCGCGCTGAGCCGCACCCCGGTGCCCGCGCCGCCGCCTCCACCGCCGCCTTTGTCGGACTCGGAGCGTGCCACGTCGGACACCGAGCGCACCTGTAGCCCGCAGCGGCGGTACTCCAAGAAGCGCCTCCGCGGACCCTACGGTGAGATGCTCGAACAGGAGATGCGCAAGACCGGCGAGAAGCAGAAGACCGCCTTCTGCGAGGAGCTCAGCTTTCTCCTGCCGAGCGATAAGTCGCAGACGTCTCCCGCTGTGCCAGCGACGACCCCAGCGACGACAGCATCGACAACGACGACGACGACTTGTGGTGGTGCCAAGTTGATCACCACGAACGCACCGACGATGGCGGCTCGGTCCAGGCCCGCCCACCTGTCCAACAGCCTCTCGCTGGACGACTGCCCAGCTCAAGAGTTCCTCGGCGTCTCTGGAGGCAGTGCCCGAGGCCTCGGCGCCGCGGCGAAAGATCAGCGCCAATTACCCGCTCACGGGTTCCGACACGGCTTCCTTGCTGGTGTGCAGCAAGTGCGGACGAGACTGCCGCCGCCGCAGCCAAGGCCCAACCCGTGTCGTGGTTGACAGCGGCCGGTGGCGGCGGTGGCGACTCCGGTGCGCGAACGACGACTCCCGCGCCGTCACCCGTTCCACCGTCTCCGCAGCTGAGCGGCGGTGCGCCCGAAAGGGTGGTCACCGTCCACCACGAACGCTCCCACAGCAGCCCCGCGACAACGTCGAATGGTTCGCCCTTGCTCGTCAGAACGGGATCCTTGCGACGTCATCAGGTGAGTACGTCATCTTTGCGTATTAACATTCCTCTTTCGTCCAGTTGGCGTTATGACTCTTGCACTCCTTCTCACTAAGCTTCGCTCCGTGACTTGGAATTGTGGGCGCTTTGAACACTGAAGTCTCACATGGAAAGTGCCGTGATGTTAAACATTTCAATCGCACTACACGCGTGCGACGTCTAGCGGTAGTGTGTCAGTGCACTTTTTTTCTGGGAGCGTCAACCTTCCCGCATATATAGGTGACGTCACGGCCGGCTTGCTCAGGCCTTAGAACTGTGCTACGCTATTGCGATAATCCGAGCTCGACTTTAGGACCAAATGCTTGTTTCACGCGGCTGTTTAGAGTCATGTTATTTGTGTTCCTATCGCAGAAATCGCTGTTGAAGTTTCATCTGTGCCTCGTTAGAGTAAACTTAGATATTACCTTATATAGTGTTTAGTGTTTTGTATAAAAGTGACGGACTCTGCTCACAGCTGCCTTGTGGCTGCTACGCTGTTAACAGTAATCGCTCAATATACATAACAGGTTTTGTTACGGTACCCTTCGAGAATACCTTGGGTCGCATTTCAGTCAGCGTTACATAAAGAATGGAACTAGAACTGCCTACTATATTCATTTACAGAGGAAGGGAGTTCTACCCTCAGTGCCACACCACCGCCTTTATCACAAGGCACGCAGGGAATAAAATACGATCAAACAAAAGCTAGTTAATGTAACCGCGTACGAACTGCAGTGCATCTCTTCGTAAGCAGTTTGTCCTTTAACCTTATATATACGAATTAAGTTTGTTGCGCACATGTGCTAGGCAAAATAATAAACTGGAAGAAGATGTGGCTATTCAATATATGATCATGAGGATGATAAAAACACTTTATTAGAGATATCATATTTTCTTGGTTTTGTGGACAAGGCTCGTTTTATTTTTACCCACCCCAATAGGAATTTTTTTTTGTTTTATTCGCTTGATTGGTGACACTGCTCAGGTCTACTTTGTTCTTTCGACTTTGTTGTATTGGGATATGATTTACATGTATGTGTATACGGCGCACTACCGTGCGACAGAAAATCGCACTTCGTAAGAACAGAAAGCCGCAAAAATGTCCGTCTCTTTAATGCAGGGACGTGTTCCTTTAGCGCTCGCCGTAAATGCAACTCGTGCTGTGGCATCCCGACCATTAGGATATAACTTTCATATCCTCGTTGCATTGATGGTATGAAATGCCGCTGTAAAATTTTTATGTGCTTGAAATGATGAATATGAGAGGTTCGTTAGCAAGCGAAATATACTTGCCAAAATAAATAAAAAGGCACAAAATATATCACGCAGAGACACGAGATATGCAAATGCGGTACAATTCGACAAGCACGTGAGTCACAAGTATGCGCGAGCTCGAGAAGTTATCAGCCTGCCTCTTTGGTGCGAAAGTATCTCTGTCTTCACAGAACACTTTCTCTCTGTCGTATTTTCCCGCCGCGGTTTGAATCAAATGAGCGAGGCGGTGAAGTCAAGTCACGCGGGAAATGGTCCGCGTCGCACCGTCGTTTCATTGCCGCATACTTTCGAAACGGACTTTCCTGTTTGATTTTTGATGGCTCGCTCTTATTTCTGCGTACTGTTCATTTCATTTCATTTCATTTATTGCATCCTTAAAGGCCCGAGGGCATTACATAAGGTACTGTGGTGCGTCGCCTTACCAACAGACGCGCTGAAAAAAACTTCTGACGTTCGGACGTTGCCCCGCTGATTTACATCCCGCCCTCCCTTTCGCATCCTTGCCGTGTTTTTCCAGGCGCCCGACCTCGTCCCGCGATGGGGACTTTGAACCTCGCACTATATTTACAAACTGGCGTGAGAAGCACCGCGCTAGCGCCGTGGTATAAAATCGCGCAGCAACCGCGCGCGCGGCTTTGCGCATCGGGGCGATAATTCACAAACTTGGATCGATGCCACTCACACATGGTGTGTACAGTGGCCGTGTCGCTTGCGTAATCGAGGCTTAGAGCGAGTGGCATAGCGGACGTGACAAGGGATGCTTTTTGGAAATGTTGCAAATGGCATGTTCATAGTTTCCGACCCATCGCTCGCACTCACTCCTTCTCCCACTGCCGACTATTACGTGCCAGTCACATGTTCGAACGCAACTCTGCCCCCCCCCCCCCCAAGACAACACACACACACACACACACACACACACACACACACACACACACACACACACACACACACACACGCACACGCACACGCACACGCACGCACACACTCACGAAACGCACGGACGCATACGCACACATACACACGCGCGCACACACACGCATACGCACACACACACATACACACGCGCACACACACACGCATACGCACACACACACAGAGAGAGGGAAAGAAAGAGAGACCTTCCTGTAATCGTACAGTGGAGCAAAACATAGAGAACGTAGGTTATTCCTTCGTCAAGTCATGCAAGCTATAGCAGCATCGGTTTCGAAAATCGGTTTTCAAGAAGCACGGCTGTGTACCAGGCCCGGCCGAGGCAACGCAGCACGTTATTGTGTAAAACCGTGCCGCGTTCGTGAGTTTTGTACTGTTCGTAATCTGTTGGTTTTATACCCTAAGCCGAGTAAGTCCTGTGCAGCGCACTCCAGATTGAGATATGAGTGCGTGACAGGCATTTCCGCGAAACAACAGGCCTTGAACCGTTCCTGCACGGGCGATGAGAACTTGTTATTTCCCCTGTTACACGTACCTTTAGCGCAGTGTGGCTCGCCTTCTATTGGCCGCCCCCGTCGCTCGTTGAACTCCTCGTTCAGTTTCGTTAAAACCGTCTCGTTCACGTGGTAATAACCGCGCTTTTGGATACTCAACCGTACGTTTTGGAGGGGAAAAAAGTAATAATAAAGAGACAGGGATGTGAGTCTAATGAAAGACCTTAAGTGCTGCTCTAAACAAGTATAAGATAAAATGTGATATGAAAACTGCACTGAAAACAAAATAGAAAACTGCAGAAACAAACTAACAAAATAAAAACACTAACAGACGAGAATGACTTGTTTCCTGAGAGAGAGAGAGAGAGAGAGAGAGAGAGAGAGAGAGAGAGACAGGCAGAGAGAGAGAGATGGGGTTGGGGGATGAGAGAAATGAGCTGGAAGTTAGAACAGAAGTTTTGGCGTGTTACATCCCATTATACTTTGGGGCAGGGAAATGGTGAAAATAAGATGGAAATAACAACTCACGAAAAAAAAAAACGCGTTGTGCTGTGTTTGGATTGATGTGAAAGTCAGATGGGGCTTCACCTCACGCGCAAAGCAGTAAGCAGGGCTCCCTTACAGCATCCACAAAAAATATCACTAAGCTGAAGCGCGCGACATATAAGAGGCGGGTGTGTCCGGCTTTCTCCCGACTTTCCGCTTAACGATGCACCGCCAATACGCCCAGAAATCAGTACTTCGAAGAAAAGCATCGCGCAGTTGTGAACGTGCATATCCACGGAAGTTCAACGGAGCAGCCTTGCGTTTCAGTCGGGTCTCGTGCCTCGATATAATTGCACACTCACTCGAAGCGAACTCGAGTGAAATACGTGGCTTGCGCGACCGCTTCCGAGTCACTCAGCGCAATTCGTCAATTTACTCCCGCGATGCTAGTTGCCATGGTGATGTAGGCTTGTGCTCCTTCACTCCCTGCTGTACGGGCCAAGTGCTTGTTAAAATAGCAACGCTCGCGGGCTTACGGCAGAGAGAGGATGGTGTTTTGTTTGGGCGGCAGGCTCGTTTTTACGAGCTTTGAAGCTCGTGGAGGGAGTTACTTTGTGCAGACCCGTGAAACGCTTTTCTTTCAGTCTGGGGGGTTTAAAGTCGAGCGCCTCTGATTGGACGCTTCCTGCCGCGGGACGGAAATGTTTCTGCCTTTATATACGGTGGGTCTGCGAGCAGCGGGGAATATAATTTGGTCTACGTCATAGGGGATGACTTTGAATGCTCTCGCACTCTAGTTTTCACTGGTTTTACTGGCCAGTGGCGCCAATCGAGAGAATGCTCTCACATCGGCTTCTGCCGGACGTGGCATGACAAGAAGTTTGTTTGATTGATTTGATATGTGGGGTTTAACGTCCCAAAACCACCATATGATTATGAGAGACGCAAGAAGTTTGTTTGTGCCCCCCAAGGAACTGTGATGTAGGTGTAGCCGGAAGCACCACCAGATGAAGTCAATGGCTTTGCTCTTGAGGGGACAGGAAGACGGGTAAGTCCTGCCGCGATGTCGTGGGTGCTTTGGAGGGTCTGGAATTGAATGTGAGGATTTTTTTTTTTGAACGATTTCTCCCATCACTTCTTCGTGACGGGTTTGGAGGCGTTAGGAGCTACGTAAAGCCAAAACATGAGGTCAGAAGAGGATGAGTCATGACTTCATTTGGTGCACGACTGTCAGTGGTCCGGGTCTATACGGTACAGGCTGGATGAGTGAGATGTGGACGATTTTGCAAAAGTGTGAACGCTTTGGCCCGAGGTTTATTCAATTTGAGAAGAGGGTGCGGGTATTTTTCGTCGCCTAGATGATAGTGAGCAACAATTTCGTGGAAATCATATAAGCAGTCTTTGTAGATGTTGATCCCGTTCCGATCCTGCAGCTATAATTGTGACAGCGGGGTACGTGAAATCGTGCGCTACCATGTGGGCCGAAGAGATTTGAATATATTGCTGCATTCCAGCACCGCTGATCAGAAAGAACGTTAATGAGAACTTACAATTTCTTTCACTGTTCTCGTTATTATTGTGTGTAACAGAAGAAAAACGGGCCCTTCAATTTACGCTTCTCTCCTTGATCAGAAAAAAGTCAGTCTTGCCAAATAAGACAACGAAGATTCGCGAGCGAGAGCTGGTTCGGAGATGTTGGATTTTTGTCGCATCTATGCTGCCCTTAAGCCATATAGTTATATTATGGGAGCTGTGAATAGTCGGAAGTTACAATGTTAAGTGAAATTGTAAGAAATATGAAGAGGTGGGA